CTTCTACAAGTTTTATCTAAGTTTCGATAAATGAACCAGCTTCTTCATCAAACTCTTGCCCTTTTTGATATTCACTGGTACCGCACAAAGGAGATGTAGACTTTGATTCTGGTGAAAGTTCTTAGTTCCTCTTGTAAAAACCACTACTGCCTCACCTGGTTCCAAAAAAATACACGAGAAATGTTCTTAGTATTACTTGTATATTATTTGTTTTATGATTTGTTCATAATTGCCAGTGAAAAGAAGAAAAAAATCATCAAAAACGAGCGAAGAGGCGCGTGCTTCCCAAGAATGCACGATTCGCCTAAAGAGGAAAGTTTTTGAGTATTTTTTCAGGTATACACGCCTCTTCTAATGTGTGGATATTATTTCTCTATTGTTTGATATTATTTACAGTCCTCATCATTGCGGACCGGTGGGGCGTGGCAGTGCGGCTGCGTTTGGTGCGGTTTGGCAAAATCGTTCTGCACCAGTTTTTGAAGCGGGCAAGTGCATTACTGTATTATATCCTTCGTATTACTCGTTTTCTACCACTTTTTGTCGCATACGCGTTGCAACAAAAAAGGCTGAGAACGGCTTCAACAGTGTGCGCACTCCTTCTGGCTGACACGCCCCACCGGTCCGCAATGATGAGGACTGTATATTCAATTGTTAGTGGAAAAGAAAATAAATACAAAAAACCAGCGAATAGGCGCGTGTACTCCCGGGAGTACACGATTCGCCGAAAGCGGAGTTTTTTCGTGTACTCCCGGGAGTACACGCCGCCGCGAACGTGTTAAACAATCTAAGAGGTGAACCTAGATGTGGAACTTAAGAGGCACCAAAAGTTTCGTCGCAGTGGACGGCAGACTATTTAGCCTTCATTGCCCAATCATCCAAAATAGGCAGTTTTTGACAGACTTTTTTCTCCGAGGTCTCATATGACCTGAAAGTTGTTCCTGGGTTGGTCTGACCTCCTGAACACGAATATCGCATCCACGCGTCCGTCGAAATACCCTGGATCACTGAATTCGCTGAAAATTCCAGAGGCAGTTCGCCCTCGTTAACAAAAATATTACGTCTATAAGAGGTGCCAAGAATCTTGAGGATAGTGTAAAACACCTTTCCTCCGAGATAGAAATTTTCTCTGCTGAGGCTGAGCATTAGTCAAGGGAGTCACGATCACAGGTAATTAGGAAGAATGCTGCTTCTCTTCAACGTTCACTGCCTTAGCACACCACACGATGTGCTGGGGCATTTGAGCGAAAACAAGGGACTGGAGTCCGTGGTACAGCCCTCATCATTGCGGACCGGTGGGGCGTGGCAGTGCGGCTGCTTTGGTGCCGTTTGG